AATAGTTCTATTTTTCTTAGCAGGAACTCACAGAATGCTGCTGGGCTGATGTGAATATGATGAGTTCATGTGATAATCAGCTTCTACAGTCAAATCAAACAGGGTAAACCTGTCAGCAGTGCTTGGATAAAATTCTCATATCGACAGAACAGGCATGCATACATTTCCTTATATTCATGTTTATGCTGGTCATTATCAGCAGTAAAAATCTGAAAGACTTCGTTGTTATTTTATGCTTTGGTTCTGTGTAGCAAGTCACCATTGTGTAACAAAGAAAGATGAACTGAGTGTAGAGATAAAACGGGAGACGTCTGAGAGTAGAGGAGAGGTGAGTAGTTGCTGTTTGCCCAATGCCTGTGACGGGCTGCGGGGAGTGGTGGACACTGACAGTTAGGACCTCCAGACAGTGTGTTTACTGAACTTTAATGGGGCACTCGGCATTGGTTCTCCATTCTGACCACATTCAAAATTGATGTCAGATACAAGGATTTCTTCTAAAACTAGAGCCAGACCGATATTAGGCATTTTCCAAACTATCGGTATCGGCAGTTATAATGGCCGATAATAAATGAATATTTCGAAAATTAAATAAAAACGGACGAAACACGCTTGAACCATGTCATGTGTGTTGGAGTTGTAAAGTTTGTCCACCAGAGGGCACTCTACACCATTCCTGTTGGCAACACTCGTTGAGTTGGTCACGATACATACATTGCTTGAATAACAATTAAAAGAAAATCCCCATCAGTTCTCTTAACTCAAATAAGCATGACAAAAAATAAATAAATAAATAAAATATCGGCCGATATATCGGAATATCGGATTTTAAAACCCAAAAATATTTGTATCGGTATCGACCTTCAAAATCCTTTATCAGTCGGGCTATATCTAAAACACCCAGAGGTCATTTGTGCTATCCACTCCACCAGACACTTAAGATCAAATGACCTTCTTATAATGCATTCAAATGGTTCAAAACACCACCCACCCACTACCAACAATGCAAACATCCCTTGCAGTAAAAACAAAGGCTCCACGACCTTTGGCATGTCGCCATTAGTCAAATAGTCTTAATGGTATTTGCAGCCTATTACTCTGACCTTTTTTTAGCAATCAAACACTTGGCCATGGGCACATCATGTTTACAACACTCACAGCACTGACCACCACTAGTGCAGGACAGATGCCATGGGAGTTAGTCCAAAACTTTGCCTTAGCTAATAGGATCAGTCGGGCTCAATTCTGATCGAATCAAATCATTCATTAAGATTAAGTAACATTCTGCAATAGTGCATTTACTCTAAAAGCAAACAAACTTGACTTTAAAGCTTTATTACCATGTAGTTTTGCTCCAATTTAGATTGTCCCCTTTCACCCTCCAACACTTACACTACAACTATAACATAAACAAGCCATTATTTTACTTTTATGACTCCAAATAGCAGAACAACGACTTTATTTCACTCAATGCAAGCCAAAAGGGAAATAGAAAAATATTTTGGAGCTCTGTATACATGATTGATCTGCATAAACGTTTCTCCAGATATGGTGCCACCAACAGCAGATACGGGTATAACAAACACAGCATTGTCAACATTACACACACAGCACACTAGTGGTTACGTCATGCTGATAACCCTCCACCACTGGGGGAACTCCAGCAATTCTGTCTTATCTAACTGTGCCTGATATGACACAACTGATACTGATAGCAGGCAACAGAACTCAACACAAAGGTGGGTGAAAGGAGAATGCTTTAACCTGTCTTCTAACAGGGCTATTCACTAACCAGAAAGACCAGTAAAAATCTTTCATGAAAGCAGTTAAAAGATAATTATAGTAAAGTGCTATTTAAAGCAACACTCTTATGCTAATTAACTACAACAACATGATGCCGGAAATATACTTTGGGCTTTAGCAAGCATAAGAGATTTTTCATTAAAAAAAAAAACAAACACTGACAACCTTAAACATTTGAACATTAGTTTATTAGGTTAAATAAACATTAGTTATGTTTAATTATAGTCTACAATGACATGGCTGATGATGATGAATACCTTTAATGAATAACACAAAACAAAGCTCTCTTCCACAATGAAACAATAACATTTGCACAATGACTACGTTTACATGCAGCCAATAACCCGTTCAAAACGGCCATGTAAACACCGGCAAAAACCCGAACATGCTCATATCCCGGATTTTAAAAACCAGGATATTATACCTGGGGTACCCCTTTTCTAACCCGAATTTTTGGTCATGTAACCGCTTATCGGCATATCCCCATAGTGATTTGTGTTCTGCGCATCTTCTATTCGCAAGGAATCTTGGTCGTTTGAGTAGAGAAACTTCTTGACGCGTGCAGTATACCGGAAGTAAACATTACGAGACCAGGCGAGACAGCACACAGCATACTTTGAGCGAGGTCAGTAACGTTACCAGCATCAAAGCGCAAACAAAGGCGATCGCTATCTGCCCCAAACTATAAACCATCTACGTGCTGCTGCTGCTGTTGTTGTTGTCTTTGGATACAGGAAGAAGAATCGGAAATGACGAATATTGCATCTCAAGGTTGTTTGTACGTCTACGTTAACTGCGCGCATCGCCGTTTACATCTGGATATTGCAAGTCCATACAGGAGAAACTCTCTCTGCTCACGCACGTAAACGGGTTATTCCCAAGCGGCAACATTCTAATCTGAAAGATGAAGCCTACCCGGAAGTGCGATAAACTGCAATACATCTCAAATCCGCTAGAGGCCGGTCCCAAAAGGTAGCAAATATCCATAGACGTCATGTTATAGTGTCCGTTTTCACAGCATAAATTCATATGTTTACAGTTTGGTCCCATGGACTTTTATTGTAATCTTCAATATGTTCCGCGTGCCTGACAACTGTGAGGGGGGTGAATTTTTTTATAACTCGTTAGTTTAGATCATATTTAGATATAAAACGTATGACAAATAAGGGCGGTTAACTTTAATTGACAGCTGATAACGGGCTGCGCCGAGTGAATTTGACGTCTCGGCCATGATCTGACACAACGCATCATACCACCTCTGTATCCTTTCTGAAACTTTTGTATTTTCCAAGATTTTCCAGCATGGCGCCACCCATACCCCCCATAAACAGCTTCAAACCCGTTCTTCAGAGAGTCTATGGGTGACGTCACAGACGCTTTATCCATATTTTTTACAGTCTATGGTTATTTTGCATATGGTTAATTTCCTTCGATGCTGCTCATTTATCAAAATGAAGAATGGTCAAGGACAAACACTTTGTATGCTATCAACTCCTTATCTTGTCCCTGAATACTACTTGAGCATGTTCCGCGGTTCATACAGGGAGAAACAAGGCATCTGACATAAATTAACGAAAAGGCCTGCTGTAATAAAGCTTGCAGCTGCAAAACTGTTGTGCACCATGTATTAGAGTTTATGCAAAGCATTTTGAAAACGGACAGAGATAAAGTGGTAAACTAGCTCCATGTTTCACCAGACAATCTATTTCCGATGCTTATCACTAATCGGAATGGAGCAGAGAGAAGAGGGAGAAAGAATATCATTCCTCAAAACTCAACACAGAGGGTGGAACTGGAATTGATGCGAGTCCAAAACAAATCTGTTGTTTTCTGGCCATGAGTCCTGGCAGCCCTGCAGAGCAAAGAGGTTGTCTGGGGCCAGTTATGTTTTGGGTTCAGGCATCTCGCTGGTGCACTTATGACACGGTGCTTTGTTCTCTTCTAATGTACAGTGGGAAAGAATGCTGCTCAAGAGAAGAAGAAGAAAAAAAACTAAGCTGGCCCATGTCCAATTACACTAATACACTTATGCTGTGTGGCCTCCATTTTCACATTCCACTGCCTTTCATGTGCAAATCAACAGCTGTTGACAAGCATTTGGTATCTACTATGATTTATTGACCCTTAATAACAACATCCGAGAAATGGAAAGCGAGCGAGTACAGTTGCAGCCTCGTCGAGAGCTTTGTGGAGGGGGCGGGGAGGTGCACAAAAGATGTTATACCATCGTGTTTATGCAAGACTTCAACACTTTCTCGGCGATATTTACAGTACAATGAAGGAAACCAAAGTCTCTGCTTCACATGAAAACAATGGAACAGTGAGGCAGTGTCGTGCTACACAAATAATCGCAGTTCAGTACGTCACTGCACGAGCTCCAGCTCTTAATATGGGCTCACAAACCACATATTGTTGGAGTCTATGAAAGCTATTTCCATGCACTAATGCTCTTTAGACCTTAATGTTATCTGTATAGCGGGGATAAACATTTGCTATACACATACTTATTTAATTCTTAAGTATATTTCAAAAGATCTGTGTTTATCTAACCCATAATTATTTTACGAAACCAGTAGCAGCTAGAGCAGTCAATTAAAAAAAAAAGATTTTGTTCGAATGTAACGCTATTCTTTCTAAACCAGGATCATGTTACAACACCTAGACACGTTCAATAATGAGATGTTGACAAGAAATCCTAAATACCACTGATCTAATCTGATTAATACCGAAGACACAAGCAAAACAGACAGAAATTATACGCCTCATCATCTGCTTGCACCCGGCAGCGTTACTACAGAACTAACGTTAGCTAAGCATTCAATACTATACAAGACCATATCAACCGAGCTAACTCCACAAAATCGCTCAACGGTGACACTGTGCTCTGCCAAAAACATTGTATATAATTGTAGAAAGCTAGCTGGAATCATAACGTAACGCGCCGGGTGAAATTGAACGACATTCCGTCTAACGTTAAAGCATAAACACTGCTACTAGCTATATGCTAACTAGCCGAATAGTCTTCACGGTGGGGTTGATTTCCGCCTTGCGCAACGACGCTCATTCAATCTAGCCGAGGGTCAGTGAAGGAATAACGGCCGTTAGCCCCTAACAGACCCTGTTTCTCCGTCAAACGGATGGGAGAACTATCGGCGACCTTAAAACCGACAAACTGCTGAAAACGTCTTGTAGTAACTTACCTCTCCGCGGAAGGTCTGTTGCTACTGGAGGTTAATGTAACGTTAGTTTCTGAGGAGAACGAAATGAAGAAACGTCCACTAATAATCCACATGTAACGTACGGCTTGCTACGGGCGTGTTTTGGTCCTCGTTGCTTTGAGCCCCAAATCCACTTGAGCGCCCCGCTTCTGTCGTGTGAGAAACTAGTGCTAAGCCGCTCTCGCGCTCCCTCAATGGTTCGGCCTTCTCGCGCTCCTCGTCTGTTTTTCTTTCTCCGCCGTCTGTTTTACTCGCGTTTCCGCCCTCTTATAATATCCAAACGGCAGTTATTCGGGAAGAGCAGCTCGTGCCCATTTTGTCTAGGTGTTTTTCACAGCAGTGAAAGTAAAAACACGAACAAGAATCTCTGCGGGTCAGAGATTACTGGAGTGCGTGTGTGACTGACTGACTGTTGTGCTGCTTGCAAAGCGATAGTTCACTGAACGTCAAGTGCAGCTTCTCAGCTCTTAAAGGGCCAGTGCGTTTAAAATAGGTCCCACTGCTATATATATATATATATATATATATATATATATATATATATATATATATATATATATAGATAGATAGATAGATAGATAGATAGATAGATAGATAGATAGATAGATAGATAGATAGATAGATAGATAGATAGATAGATAGATAGATAGATAGAGACAGACAACATAGACAGACAGACAGATAGATAGATAGATAGATAGATAGATAGATAGATAGATAGATAGATAGATAGATAGATAGATAGATAGATAGATAGATAGATAGATAGATAGATAGACAGACAGACAGATAGATAGATAGATAGATAGATAGATAGATAGATAGATAGATAGATAGATAGATAGATAGATAGATAGATAGATAGATAGATAGATAGATAGATAGATAGATAGATAGATAGATAGATAGACAGACAGACAGACAGACAGACAGACAGACAGACAGACAGACAGACAGACAGATAGATAGATAGATAGATAGATAGATAGATAGATAGATAGATAGATAGATAGAGACAGACAACATAGACAGACAGATAGATAGATAGATAGATAGATAGATAGATAGATAGATAGATAGATAGATAGATAGATAGATAGATAGATAGATAGATAGATAGATAGATAGACGACATAGACAGACAGACAGATAGATAGATAGATAGATAGATAGATAGATAGATAGATAGATAGATAGATAGATAGATAGATAGATAGATAGATAGATAGATAGATAGATAGATAGATAGATAGATAGATAGATAGATAGATAGATAGATAGCAGATACAGTGGGGGGGAATAATTTGATCTTCTAATTTTGTAAGTTCGCCCACTTACAAAGAAATTAAGGGTCTGTCTTATTATACTTATTTCACGCGACCTAATTTTAATTCCTTTAAGAATAAGCTGGATGCATTTTGCCTGTCAAAAGATGTTATGTATAATTATAAAGTTTCCTGTAACCAATGTAATTAATTTTATGTAATTTATTTAGGATCTTAGGAAAACTCAATTTATGAAATTAATGTGTTTTTTATAAAATCAAAATCAACTTTCTCATTATCATCCTGAGACGAGATCTTGCACGGAGCTACAGACCGAGGGCGATTGATTTTTCCTTTTGTAATTCAATTTCCGAATAATCACATCAACAAGTCTCCTTCTCTCCAAGCTTCTTGCTGATGATCTTGTAGCCCATTCCAGGCCTTGTGCAGGTCTACAATCTGGTCCCTGACATTTTGACAGCTCGTGGTGGAGATGATGGAATGGACAATACAGATTCTGTGGACAGGACAGTGTCCACTGACATTAGGATATTAGGAGTGCTTTCTTAAAGTGACGGGACTAATCTGTGTTCCACATGCACGGGAGGAGCTTGTCAATGATCTCAAGGTAGTTGGGACCACAGTGACCAAACCATTGGTAACACACTACGCCACAATGGATTAAAATCCTGCACAATCCACAAGGTCCCCCTGCTCAAGAAGGCACATGCCCGTCTGAAGTTTGCCAATGAACATCTAATGATTCAGGAAAGGCTTGGGGGAAAGTGTTGTGGTAAGATCATATGAGACCAAAATCAAGCTCTTTGGCATCAACTCAACTTGCCATGTTTGGAGGGAGAGAAATACTGACTGCGACTCCAAGAACACCATCTCTACAGTCGAGCGTGGAGGGGGAAACATTATGTGTTTGGGCTGTCAATACCTCCTTCCTTCATCCAGAACACTGAAGATGGGTCGTGGAGTGGTCTTCCAGCATGACAATGACCCAAAGGCAACAAAGAAGTGACTCAAGAAGAAGAACATTAAGGTCATGGAGTGGCATAGCCTTAATCCTAATGAAAATCTGTGGGGGGAGCCGAAACTTTGAGTTGCGAAACCTTAAGGATTTAGAGAGGATCTGTAATGAGGAGTAGACTAACATCCTTCCTGGGATGTGTGCAAACCTGGTGACCAACTAAGAAACGTCTTTGTGCTTGCCAACAAAGGTTTCCCCACAAGGACTAAGGCATGTTTTGCTTAGGGATCAAATACTTATTTCACTCACTGAAATGAAAATCAATGTATAACCTTTATATAATGTGTTTTTTTTTCTTCTGGATTTTGTGGTGGATATTATGTCTCTATCCATTAAAATAAACCTCCCACACAAATTATAGACCCTTAATTTCTTTGTAAGAGGGCAAACTTACAAAATCAGCGGGGATCAAATAATTATTCCCACCACTGTATGTCTGTTGTGTGAGATTCAATGGTATAATTTACTCACCATATGTTTCTTCTGTGGAACATAGAACCAAAACGTTTCAGTTCCCATTGATTTTCATTGAATGGACAAAAACTACAATGGAAGTCAATGGGAAGCAAAACTGTCTAGCATTTCCAAATACTTGTATTTGTGAACTTATTTAGACCACAAACCTTGGTCTGCATAATGATAGATGGCCAAACAAAATATCAGAGGTTCTGTCATCCAACTGAAATATCACAGCACTTCCAGAAAACACATGCACACTTTCGCAAATGGCTCTTGCAGACACTAATGTGTTGTACCCCCTGAGCGGTCTCTCCAGGCCCTCCACATCTGGGCTATTTGAAGCCCGTGGAGAGACAAGCTGTGGATACAGTGTTTTAACATTGAAGAATAGTGTCAGAGAGATCACACTGTTGGCTCAGTAAATGACCTGTGGTTTCTCTAATGATCTGAATCCTTTTCTCTGCAGCTCAGCCACCCACGGCCATCAGGCACCAACAGTTACGCATCCGTGACGCTCCAAAATTAATCAACCCTTCACACACAATCTTCCCGAGGAGTCGTATATGTCAGAGTATCATTTCCATACCTCTGTGTAAATGATGTTGACCCGCTAGGGGCATATTGTTTGTGTGGGCAGCTCTTTTATTCAAGCCCTTGTGAAATCTGCGGTTTTTACTGTAAGCATCCGTAGCTTTGCCTGCTCATTACATGTGATTCCGCTTTTCTAAAGTATAACAATATGGCGGTGATCTCACAGGATGATTCTCTGACACACAGCCACCTCATATCTTTGCCCTGTGGTGCTAATCTCTTGTGTGCGAGTCTACGGATTTGCATGTTGACATTTACAATGGATGTGCGTCAGGGTAACCTTCAGAGAGCCAGCGGAAAAAGAAAAAGAAAATCTCTGAATTGGCATTCATTATCATGAGTCGGTCATTTTTTTAACATCGCCTCCAACGCTTGATGTTCCAGTGCTCTTTTGCTTCAAGGGAAAGGCCAAATGACTGAAATTAACTCAGGAATGATGTTGAAAGAATGATTTTTAGTGTTTTAGTCAGATTTGATCAGATGAAATGTATATATATGCCAATCTGATCTGATTATTTACATGGAAAAGTGTCTTATGTGTAATACAGTCACATTAAGGACAGGTTGGGTTGACCTACATTCAGTTTCCAAATTACTCCATGATGTCAGAAGGGTTTTTTTGCTCTGTTTTTCTTTCTGCTCCGCAGTCTTTTCATTCTCCTTATCCATCCAGTTTTCCGCCCGCATCCATGCGGCTGCACCACCATTCCTCTGTCTTTCTCTCTCTCCCGGGTCACCCACCACTGAAGAGGAAAGAGGGTTGTTTATTTGATCAAAGTTCCCAAGAGCCTTAAGTGTCACAGTGTTATCTCACCCCAATCTCTACAATGCCAATTACTCAGTACTGCGATAAAGTTAAAGCAGTTAAAGTTGCCTGTGTGTGTGTGGATTAACAGAGAGAAGCAAACCCAACGGGGTATATTGCAATCATATTCCACCGACCATTATAACGTTGTCTTTTTTTATTCTTTTGCAATAGATTGCAATGTGGTTTCTTTATAATAAACTGCCCATGAAAAACAAGCTCAGGGATTTGGATGAGAAGTGAAAGATGAACTGTGTAACAGTAACAGAATTTCCAGCACACACACACACACACACACACACACACACACACACACACACACACACGCAAAGTAGGGCAGGAAACAAATGAATGGTGAAATATGGGAATTACAGAATGAAGCCAAACTGAATTGCCAATTGGTTATGGTTAACAGAGTTAATGGTATCAACGTCATTTTTATTTGATTAATATCAATTATCTAAAAATATAAAAAAAAGTAATATACATAAATAAAACATTCACATTAGGATAAGATTATCATGCATTTAGAAAATAAATTTCCACTTAAAGGAGAACTCAGGCGCAAAATGAACCTATGGTCTAATAAAACATCGGTACCTAGTCAATCGTTCTCTGAGATTTGTTTTCATGATAATCGAATGTAAAGAGTTTTCGGTAACACTTTATTTTACGACCCGCAAACAACTGTGTAAGTACACTGAAATTACGATGTACGTTTCTGTAATTATAATGTACTTCTGTAGGTATAAGGGAACAATATGTTAAGTTTGGGGTGATAAAGGGGTAACAAAGATATACAACCTGCAAATAACTTTGTAAGTACACTAAAATTACAGAAACGTATACCATAATTTCAGTGTACTTCCGTGTAGTTATAAGGGAACAATATGTTAAGTTTGGGGTAATAAAGGGGTAACAAGCAGATATAAAAGCAAATTATTGAATTAGTTAAAAAATAACAGGTACCTATTCTGTTAATATATTCCAGGCAAAAATTGTACATCTGTTGTTTATAAAACATATCACATTTCTGGCAAAATATGTTCTTGTGCAATGTTACAGGGTAATTTTGACATCTGTGGGTTAAAAATTAAAGAAACACACACACACACACACATATAGGCTATATATATATATATATATATATATATATATATGCTATGATAAAAATTAAATTTATCTGTATTTCTTACTAGATTACTTAATGTTAAGTCAAAATAAGTTGTTTTTGCTATGATTTTAATTTAGACCTTACCATGTAATTAGTACTTACC